ACTTAATTATGACCAAAATGTTAGTAATTTGAGTTAAATAGTTTTAGGATTGATCTTCCTTGAACTTGTTTAGTTCGATCACTCTGATGTAAGGCCAAACGACCTTTTTAGTGACCGTCTGAACTCAACGACTTGTTCATCATATTAGTTGTTGATCATTCGATATAATGTATGACTGTCCAGATTTAGTGGTTTATTCGTCGAGATAATGATTTATCATTTGGTATGATATATGATTATCTAGACTCCGAACTATAATTATCTGTTCATTAAATTGATGATTGATAATCCAAATTATAATTCTCAGAGTTATGATTTACCGAATAATTATTTTAAAGTTGGGTACATTATTGACAATTTGAAGGTTGTTATAATAATAGCCATATTTCAAAGATTGAAGTAGTGCCGGCAGAGTAGAAGACAACACTGGTGGTTGGACTTAGGTTAGGATCAGTGTGAACTCAGAATTTGAGATGTTATTCTATCCACAAATCTCTCACCAATTCATCATTATTCATCAACCACCAAATTTCAATAGTGACCACAAAGAGATTTGTCTGCCCCATGATTTTTGGAACCTTTTTCAGTGTAAAACTTCATAATCTTCTTCGTATGTCTACCAATTGCAGCCATTGTAAAAGTGTTTTAACAATTCAAAGATGAACCATATGTGAGTAACATAACACAAGACAACGTATCTTGAAAGTGATAGCTTTTCATTGTTTGTTGAAAAACTTAACCAGGTGAAGACATTCTTGAGTTTGAACAATGCCATTAATTAAAGAAAATGTTTTGTTAATCATCCAGCCTTTAACGTAACGCCACACAACATTTCTAAAATAATAAGTCAGCTTTTTGGAGCAAATGGTAAACACAGTCAAAGTCTATCATAATTAGAAAACACATATTTTTTACTTTCATGCTTTTCGAAGATCTCACCAAGCTTTTTTTATAAACTACAAATCTCCAATGTCGTGGACTTCAATGCTGCTATTACTGTGACTAATATCATTAAACTACTCCAATTTGGTGGTGACAAATTCTGAAAGCGAATCTCAGAACCATTCACGCCACTCATCAATCAAAGTTGAAGAATGAAAGTGGCTGCCACCCTGGCCACTAGTAGGTGGAGCAGTGTCATGGAATTTTATCAAACAGTTGCCATGCTCAAACATTATGATCAGGAAAAAAATAATAATTATAAAATAACCTCGTGATTAATTACAATATTGAATTGATAGAGAGAAGGAAAGAAAATCAAGATTGCAAAGATGTTCTGAATGATCAAATATATATTTACAGAAAAGAAAGCAAAAATTATGAGTTACATTAAGATTCCCATAGAAGGAGAAAACAAAACCCTAAAAGTGTGCATGTATGGAAGGATTGGACCAAGATCAGACCCGATTCACTGCTCCATGGATCCACCAAAGTACATTTATTAATGTTCTGGAATGCTCTGAAGAGCAGGCCTCCATGGCCGTTCTAGCGATTCATTGATGAATTGGGCCAAAACCTGTTCCACTCTCAACTCCTTCACCTCCACTTTACCGACCAACTCCTCCAACTGTTTCTTCGTGATCTTTATCTTTACCTCTCTCGTCGCTTTCCTATCACCACCGTAAGAACACTTCTCCGCCGCAAAATCCTCCCACTCCCACTCCTCCTCCGCGGCGGCGAAACCCTCGCGCCTTAAGCAATTCCCCATTTTTTTTTTCTAGGTGTTGAATCGGAGAGAAAGATGAAGGTAAGAGGTTGGTGTTATGATTGCCCATATATATATATATAAATGTGAAAAATGAAAACGGCCACGTCGGATTTTATACGTGGCAAGTGTGGGCCGCTTTGACTTCAACGGACGCAGCATCTTACGGGATCACATTGCAACCTACGCGCGGCTTAATATTTATGTTTTAATCAAAATTATAATTGTGTGTTTTTAACATAAAGTTTAAAATTAATATTATTAAAATAATTAAAGAAATTTATCCAAGTTTTGTAAATTGTGCTGATCATGAATAGCACAAAAGTCAAACCCTTCAAACGAAATAACACTGTTACTTTGATGCTGCCAGCTATGAAATATTCAATCCAAAGTTTCAGGTGTGAACGGAACTTTGTTTCGGAATCTATCCAACCTTTTCTATTTATATTAATTTCATCATTTTTAATTGTTGTGAGACAGAAAGGATGATTTAAAGGAAATAATTTAAAATTTATGTAAATTGCAGGAGTTAAAATTTGTTGGTTATTTATGAATATTTACTGAAATCTCACATTATATTAGAAAGAAAAAAAAAGTAGAAAAAAGTTATTATAAAAATAAAAAGTTAATTTGAGAGTAATGATTCCAATTCAATAAGTATTTTGGATGCAAGAAAGATTTGGATAATTATGTATCATTGAAAGGTTTTAATTTTTGATAAAAAAAATACTGAGTATGTTTATAAGAATTTTGTAGTTTTTTTCTTAAATCACATTAAATTAATGTTGGGTTTTTATTTCTATTTTTATTGGTAAAGATCATTTTATTTGAAGAGATTTTTAACAAAATTTGATGTTCCATGACATATTTTAATGAAATGTGTTATTAATAAACATAACAAGTTGATGAAAACATAGATGGTGGGACCATAAAGCTAAACTAATTGGTAGGTTTTAGGTATGAAAGGGATAAATGGAAGGACATTTTTTAAATGAAAGTAGCCATGTGAAGTGTGAACACAAGATAGGGAAAGGAATCTATGATTGAAGGTGCTGTTTGGATACCTTTTTTTCATGTGCAATTGATTCCTATTTTGCTCATCCAAACGCACTTTTTTTTGTTAAGGGTATTATATAGTCCTTACACGACTCTTGTGGAAAATATGTTCAATAATAAAGAAAGAAATAGTCAAAATCGATAACATGCAATCGTGCTTCGAGTTTAACCACATAAAAAAGCAATTAATTTTCTACAAGGACACCACGTTGAAACGGCAACGAAAGGAATCTCCAAAACTTTCATATTTAAGGTACACTATGAAGCGTTCACGATTTTCTTCTGCTAGAAAAGTGCACAACTACATAAAGTAAAATTCAAGATAATTACAAATTTAGCAATGCATAATGCTTTTTTTTCTGAACTATTATAGATCTTCAAAGTAAATCATAAAATATTTTGTATAGTATCACTGTTTGGTTTTAAGTAAATTAAACGGTTGTGTTAGTTTGAAATCCAAAAGAATCAATGTTGAACGGAGATTAAGGTTAATAATAATTACATTAAAACTAAGTAAGATTATTATCGGTCCATATTAATCCGAAACTTATTTTAAAATCTATAGATACAAGTTTGAGATATGATGATAATTTAATTACATTCATTACACATTATTTGTTGAAACTATCATATTCTTACTGACTTGTATCTTCTGCATTTCAGTTTGACTAAACGATATAAGTAAGAAAGAATCTTAATATATTAAAAATTTTGAAGAAGATATAAAGAAAAGAGTTAACCTTCCTCCATAAACTGATATATATTTTGTTACTGTATTTTATTAAAGTTAAAGTAAAATATTGTTTTCAATAAATAATAAATAACATGTGAAAAGTTATTGATGTAATAAACGAAAATCCTATAATTTTCAAATAATTAAATAATAGTATATATAAAATAAAAGATAAATGTATTCTTAAAAAATCTTAAAAGAGAATATTTAGCTTTATAGGATTACTTCTTGAACTTGGAATGAGTAACCTAACTCATTCCTTATATAATTTGTGATTAACTTTTTCATTTGGATGTTACTTGCTATTTCTGAAGTTTCAATGTTTATGAAGTTTAAATATGTATTTTTTTAATTTGTTCAACGTTGACCATTATCTTCACTTTGACTACTTAAGTCTCAAGATAGCAGCAGTTGGCTGCATTCTTTTGCTAAAATATTATTTTGACTTGGCTTTCATGTCACAACTTTTTATACTGAATTGCATGCTTCAGATTTAAATCAATATGACATGTTTTGCATAAAACTCGAGTTAGTATTTAAATTAATAAAAGCTAATTAATTTTCCTTAATTATGAATTAAGGAAATATTAATTAGTAAAAGTTAAAAGGTATTACCAAGATTCTGTGACTCTTTCATGCATGTTTAAATGAAAATAGAAGCTTTCTCTGTTTTTTTTAAATCATTTTCTCTACATTTTTCTTGGGCTTTTACTTATTGTACCCCTATTTCTTCGGATACCTACACAAGTTTTGGATATGACTATTTCATCTTCTATGAATTGATTTTCGAATTATATACTCTGGAAAGACTTAAATACAATTTTATTCCAGTTTCATTAAGTTTTTTTAATTATATATATTTTCAATTAAGTCATAATTTTTGTAAATTTTGTTTATTTAAGTCTTTAGTAATGTCCATTAAATAATTTTTTCTCTGCAGTAGCACTGTACTGCGACAGTGGAGCTGACAGTGATGATTATGTTGTGAAAGATGTGTGAAAGGGTTTCAGTCTTTTCCTATTATTATAGGGTGCAGTTAATAATTGGGGGTGGGGGAAGTAAATAGCCTTTTTTTTCAATTGGGCTAAACTTACACGCCCGAAGTAATCCACTATTAGCTTTACATGGTCCTAATCCAATCTTTTATATTAGTAATAACAATTATATTAATTTCCAAAAGAAATTACAATAAAATTGGTTCAAATTATTCAACATGGAAAACAATATTACTATACGATGTATTTTAATTAATTTAATAGAAAGTAAATATATTTAAATTTCTCACTTCATATATAATTTTATTCAAAGTTTTACTTTAAACGTGAAAAAATATATGAATGGTATCTCATGACGTGTAGCCCTTACATGCACTAATTTCTGTAATATTCTAGACGCTACGTGAAGGGATTTCATGTGATTTTGCATTGAAATGACATGCTTGTCCTTTAACCTTTAAAGAGTTAATCCGTTCTTTGCGTTAACTTGAGGAGGGGTTTTTAAGTCTTTTTATCATGGATGCCAGAATAGAGAGAGAAACCATAGTAGTTCAGCGTCAAGACTCGCTCTTTTGCAGTGATCAAATCCTCATCTTCTTTCTCAATCATCAACCACCTTTCAATTCCTCTCTCTTCTGCTCTCACTTGGGTACGTTCTTTTTTTTTTCTTTTTTTTTTTCCATTATTCAGTTACTTGTTCTCTCTTGTTTTTTCAAAACTATCTCTCCCATTACCCTTTTCCCTTTAATCTTTAAGAAAAAAGGGGATCGTGGGCTCTTTTAATTTCTGTTCAATTTTTCTTTATAGTGTTAAAAAAGTTGTCTTTATTATTCTTATTGTTATTGTTTGGAGATTGATTCGAGTAATTTGTTGAAGGGTTGAAGATGAGAATTTGTGGAGCAGGTATGGGTTGATATTGGATTTCGTTTCATTTACTATTTGGGGGACACATTTCCTTCATGTTCATGTTCCCAATTCTATTAAAAATTCTGGGCCACGTGAGTTTGGTTTTATTTTACTGTGTTGTAAGTGACTCTGGTTCAATTCCCAATTTCTGTGAAGCATTGGAGCATGAAGAAGATATAATATTTGTTTGTTATCACAATCTTTTACCCAATACGAATTTCCATTTGTTGCGCAGCTAGCCTGACGGAAATAATAAGCTTATAAAAGTACTATGTATGTCTTTTTATCTTCCCCCAAGTGAGTGCTAATAGTTAAACCGTAAATAACTTCTTTATCTCGTAACAAAGACTTGTTTTTATCTACATGTATGAAAGGAAAAGTTTCAGCTGATTTTTTAATTTGAATAAAATAGAGTGGCAATTTCAAGTGTTAAATCAATGTTGAACAGTAGGCAGAGTTGTATATGAGTCTGCAGCTTGTGGAATCGTGGTCCATTCTTGGGGTCATTCGCGTACATACAGATGGTATAATAAAAATATCCCTAAGGTCAGAGGGAGAGTATATGTGATTAGGACTAGAATATATAGTTGTGGGAGTTTGAGTTTGGTTTAAGTCTTGAGAAAACGTTTTCTGCATTCATTTTTTATTTTCATAATTATAAAAATTTTGCACGTTCGGTGGTCAATAAATTATATTTGGTCCTTGGGATGGGGGAACAAAGTAAATATTTGATTATATTTTTGTAATTATGTGTAAGAATTCAAAATGACAACGGAAAATATTTGTTCAAGTCAAAGGCATCCACTGTGTTTTCCCTTTTCGTTCCTATATAAAATTTGTGATCTCACTCAATATGAACGTATGGGTGGATGGTATAATTTGTTTGTTTTTGTCATTCATCCTTGTAGTTATATTAGAGAATAATTGTTTTATTAGTTCAAATGATCCTTGATCGTTGTAAAACATTTTTCATTGCTAATATACAGGCGCCATGTGCTATAGTAATAACAGATAGCCCCGTATGGATCAACATAAGTCATTCAAGATTAAGTTTTAAGCTTTTGATTATTTGTTGAAATTTGTAACTTCAGTTTTGGCATCCTGATTTGGTGGCTCCTTTGTTTCTTTCATATATACAAGTGCATTTTTGAATTGGTTATTTATTCTAGAAAAGGATTCTCATGCTACTAAAATGCTTAGCAGCAATCAGCAGCAGCTATACCACCACATCCAATTCCCTTTCAGTGTTTGTTTCTTCTTCCCTCTCCAGTCCTTCGAAAACCAAGTTCCTTCCCTCACTTTCTAGGTTTTCTGTCAAGCGTTCTGGCTTATTTTCCCAAACTCGTCCTGGCATTGCTGTGAACAAGCCCTCCATGAACCTATTGAACAAACTTGGATTTGGCAGCGCAAGGGCACCAGAGAACTTGGATTCATCCATTCCTCAGGGTCCAGATGATGACATACCAGCAGCAGGCCAGCAGTTTGCCCAGTTTGGTGCTGGCTGTTTTTGGGGTGTTGAGTTGGCCTTCCAAAGAGTGCCTGGGGTGACCAAGACAGAGGTTGGTTACACTCAGGGGCTTGTGCACAATCCAACCTATGAAGATGTCTGTACGGGGACCACAAATCACTCAGAGGTTGTAAGGGTTCAATACGATCCCAAAAATTGTAGCTATGAGTCTCTGCTTGATTTGTTCTGGGCTAGGCATGATCCTACTACTCTGAATAGACAGGTAAATATAAAGTTTTTGGTTTCTGATTAAATGGAGGTTGTCAAAGTGGTTTCTGATTGATATATCTAGACTTTGCTGATTTGAATAAGAGGTTCTCTCTTTGTTGACACTTGCCAGTATTTAACAGATACGTTTATGTTTTGATATCTAGTTGAGTCTTGTTTTGTAAATTCTGTTGTAATATGGGTCAAATAAAATTCATGGGGTCTCTTTGTAATAGTTGTTTAGGCAATTGTAGCCTTTTATTTGCTCTCTGCGGATGTTGATACCAAGGGTGTGAAATGGAAGGATTGGAGAGGTTAAGTTGGTTTCAAATGGATGGGTAAAAAATAATTTTCTAGTTCACTTATGATGTCTTACTACTTAATAAAAAACCGATCATCCATGACTTATTTAATTAAAAAAGTCCTACTCATCCATCAATAACTTATCATGGATAGATATACAATTCATTCGTTTTAAAATGAGGGATGATTACATCTAGTAATAGTTGTTGATCCAATCCATTTAGTATTGCTTGTATGATTGTGCAGATTGATTGGATTTAGGCATGGATAGATTGGATGATCAGTGGATAAATAAACTAATTGGCATCCCTAGGTTTATATCCAGAAGTATTTGGTTGAGTGATGCATTTCTCTTTCCTTTGGAGGGGTTTGGAGTAGGGACATTATAAAAGTGTGAAACACTGACATTTTTCAATGTTTTCCTGTTGATCTCAGAGGCTGGAAAATTATTTATATTTCTGTAGAGATCACACAATTTTTTAGTTTTCATTTTAAAGTTAAAATAGTTAATTTTATGATATAATTGTCTCACCCTCTGTTTCTTCTGTCCAAGTTAGAACTCTTCTGTTCCCCCCTTTCAATATATTTTATTTATTTTCAAATCTTCCATTTCAATATGCATGCATACTTTTATTTCTTGGATTCACTCTTTCATCCAAATCCATGCATACAGGAACTTCCAAAAATATGGTAAGTAATGATATGCTGCTGCACACACATGAATTGAACATTCTAGTTCTTGTGCACTTAGTTACCATTTAATCTTGTCTTCTGTGGCAGGGGAATGATGTGGGAACTCAGTACAGATCTGGAATATACTACTACACGGAGGAGCAAGAGAAGGCTGCCAGGGAGTCCGTGGAACAACAGCAGAAGCAGCTGAACAGGAAGATTGTTACCGAGATTCTTCCTGCCAAGAAGTTCTACAGAGCAGAGGAGTACCACCAACAGTACCTTGAGAAAGGGGGTCGGTTTGGTTTTGGGCAATCTGCTGCTAAAGGTTGCAATGATCCAATTCGGTGCTATGGTTAATTGTAAAAGAGGGAATCGCCACCAAAGAGCAACGACAACGGTTCTTCAGATGCTGAAATTCCATAGTTTTTGTAACTTCTTTTAGCAAGTAACACATATTGTGCATATTGAAGGTTGAAGATGGACATGGCCATAAATTCTGTTGTAGAGCTGTATATGTCTATTATATATGAAATAATTTTGCTTTTGAAGTATTGCATTTTAGGGATGTCCTAATATAACTTGAAGCTATCCCTGTATTGTAGTTATACATTGATTTCTTTCTTGAAGCTATAGAAATTACTAAGGTAGTCTTTGTTCAACCTTGGGATGTGATGTTATGAAAAAGAAAGGAAAAGTGTACTGTGGAGGAAGGTTAGGGAATAGTGTGGAATGTGTCCTATTGTTTTAGTGGTCTAGAAACTGCAGGAAACATATAGGGTAGGTTACAAAACTGACCTAACAAAATATCTTGTCCAATTGTAATTAATTATTGATGCACATGCAGCAGTATCACACAACTTATTATATTCTTGTAATTTTGATCTCTTAAATGAAGCAGAGATAGAAAACAAAAAGAAAGCAAAACATAAAACAAGAAAGTGGGGGGCAGAAGAGGAGATAACTGTCCCAGCACCTTGCATTTCCATTAAATTCAGAAACCATTCCTTTCTTTAACTCTGTCACATGTGCTGCTTTTTCACACTCACAATGAAACTTTATTTCTGAAACAAATAAAAGAAGAAAGCTTTTTGTTGGTACCATTTTCTATTTATGATAACAACAAACAAAATTATCTCCTCAATGTGAAAAAGGTTAAATATTTGAGATATTTTATTGAAAAATTGCAAAATAGAAAATCTTAAACTTAATCCATATATTTCTAAAATAAAACTCTAGCATGATGAAAGTCGAATTTTTTGTTCACACATTGTATGACATTTGATATATTTATCTTGCAGC